GTATTATTATGATGCTGTCCTATAGTAAAAAATTATGTTTAGAACAATTGGGAATTTATTATTAAGCTTGAAATTGGAGATAAACCATGAAAAAATATAATCCTAAGTTAATCAGTTGGGGACCCGATGAAATCCGATTTCCGAAATATATGGTTATTATTAAACATCACAAAATTAAAATAGTAAGTAAATAAAGATAAAGCAACCTTACCTCTAGTCTGAAAAATCCAGAATAAATTATATAAGGTTATTTTACAGCACACTAGCACACTGTCCGAAGTCCTCTGCTCTAGCAATCATAATAATTCCCAGCTCCGAACCATGGACTTGGTACATTCTCAAACGTTTGGCCGGCATCGTGATCAGAATAATCAGTGAGTCCTGTCATTCTTAGCACCAAGTTATAATTCGTACAAGAGAAGAGTGAAGTTCACCGTTTGACCAGTGATAATACAACCGTTTGATATAAATTTGGTCAAGGAATTAACTTAATTTATATATGACGAATTGTAACATTGGACCGTAGTCGAATGATCAAAATTATCATAACTACTATAGCAGAGGACTTTGATCAAAGTGCGGCCAACTAGTTTGCTCTTACAACACGACCAAGTTTAGAAAAAATCTCTTATTCATGAATACAAAATTGAGTTAACTTATTTGGCAAAGATTCTAGTAAAATAAACGTTTAGGTAAACATAAAAGAAGTCATATCCAAAGTAGGTGCTAGTCAAGAGCTCTAATAATATGGGGCGTAAACTTAGCCAAATTAAGAGATGTAGACACCTTCGACGGGGTATGTGGAAAATAGCCTAAAGCTACTGTACCAATGCATTCCTCCAGAAGTCGAAGGTGAGCAATTTAATATTCATCTACTAAGTTTGGTAGCTTACATGCTATACGCGATTCGAGGCAACATCAAAAAGTGAACTCCCTGGGCTCGCAAAAAAAAATGCTGAAGACATCTGAGGACCGGGAGTTTTAAGAGTAAGTACATATGAATTAAAATTGACAAGATGAATAGATGTAATATAGCCGACTATTTTTTAATAAGGAAAATTTATTTATGCTTTACTGATACAGGTTACGAGTATAAGTTATCCTCGCAATTATGAACGGCTGAGTATAGGAGTCGTTTGACCTTGTTTTCACAACTTAGCTATATTTGCAGGAAGACCTAGAGGAACCCACCTGATCCAATGTCCATACTATGCACGATAATTTCGGGAGTCGGACCATGGACTTAGTATATTCCCAGACGTTTCCCCGACATCGTCAGTGAGCTTTTCCATTGCTAACGCCAAACCACAATTCGTCAAAAGAGACAAGAGAAGTTGACCCTCTGAATAATTGTATGCTAAGGAAGAAAGATACCATAAGTGTTTAGTAGACAATTGATCAAAAGATTAAAGGATAAAGAGTTGATAGATGAGCCAGGACAGAAAGAGGAGTGATAAAGTAACCGTTTTCGACAGAACATTGGTCGAGGGACTGACTTCATTCGTCTCTTCGACGAGTTCGTAGCTTGGCACGGAGAATGGCACCACTCACTGATGATGCCGACGAAACGTCTGAGAATATATCAAGTCCACTGTCTGATGCTGGGAATTACGATGAATACTATGGCAGAGGACTTCTGACAAGGTGCGTTCTACTAAGTCACTCTGATAATAAGACCAAGTTGCGACAACAAGGTAACCTACTTGGTACATGTTTGTTTTTGTTTTTCATCGAATGGGTCTGGATGGTATGCAACCTAATGACTAGAAGAAAGCTTCGTTATAGAATATTGTACTGCTATATATGATAATCTATTATGAGTACCCATTTACTGCAGAAGAGCAAGTGTAGTAATTTTTACTTCTTAAATTACTTTGACATTTATACAAAAAATAATTTGCGATAAATTCTTTGGTATAGCCAAAGAATTATTATCTGATTGAATCATATTTTGCCTAAAATAGTTTTATTTTATTCGAGATGATCCATTGCCACAGGGCATGACTTAAGTAATTATATGAAATGTAATTGTGGTAGAATAAACGTTCACTTGCCTTAGTGAACTTTTTCGAGTTCACATATTCGGTGACTGCAGTTGGCCAGAAGCTGGCATAACCTTCATTCAGGGAGTAAATGTCACCACGCTGCCGAATGATCATGTTAGGCTGCGTCAGAATGAATTCGCCCAATGACTGGAGTTATAGAAAGTAAAAGCCAGAGCGTTAGGTCTTAGGGAATAAAAAATAAGCAAAGTAAGCCAAGGAAGCCAAGAATATCAAATGAAAATGAACACTACATGGAGACCAAACATTCCACTCAGATACGTAACAGGGGACCAGTAGCTGAATTTTTTCATAATGATATGAGTAGGCATCATGATTCCATTAAATCTAGCATAACCTTTTTCCTAAATCTATTCTTAACCAGATTTATCTGGACTACAGTTTGAATCTCTTCTGAGTCTCATGAGCACCCTCAACAGTGATCGAAATCAGCTAGTACAGCAGTTTAATTTTTGACAAACTAGGAAGGCACCACATTGCCACGACCCCCAGTGTATCGGAGGGCAGATATGATGCTCGGGACTAGTCAGGCCTCTGCCATAAGAAATTTAATGGAGGCATTATGGATAAGGAAAATTTTTTATTTAAGCATTATTTGAGTTTAATGTGGACGGAAAATCGTAGATAGTCATTGTAAGACTATCAGCATATCATGAATAGCCATTCAGACCTCTGGGGCCTTTTCAGACCAGTGGATAGCTAAGTGGTTAAAATAAGTAACTTTCTCATCAAATGACTGAATTAACGAAGTGATGTGTCTGTTTTAGCTTATACAAAGACACGTGTTTGAGTTACTGTCATCTGGCAGGTTCACCTCGCAGCCAGCACATACATGCTTGTATAGGTTTGCGTGCATTGTTGCTGACCGGGTCAAGCATAAATCCGTGCACCCCATGGCCGACGGATAGCACCATCGCCGTCGCACTGCCGTAGAGTGCATATCCGGCTGTAACAATGTTCCGTCCAGTCTGCAGAGCCAGTCGAACATCAATGAATTGTTCGGGATCATCGGTCTCTGGTCGACGAAGGACGCTGAATATGGAGCCGATTGACCCAAGACAGTCAATGTTGGAGGAGCCGTCGAGTGGATCAAAGCACACTATGTACTTTCCCTGTGCAAATATATAGAGAGAAATAAGAATAGCTGTGAAGAAAGGTGTAGATTGATCAAAGCGTGCAGTCTAAAGAAACTATAACTACAAAGGTGGAGAAGGAAGATGAAGAGGGGGAGGAACAAGAGGAAGAACCGGGATAGTGAAAATGCTGGTGCAT